CTTGTTTTGTATGAGTCAAGAAAGAATACATTTTCTAGATATAGATATACAATTAAAAGGAGATTGCATAACAACGAGCATTTACATAAAACCTACGCACAATCCTCTCTACATACCAGCTAATTCGAATGACCCACATGAATACAAAATGTCAGCATTTCGTGCACTCATTAGGAGAGCATTTACTTATTGCTCCAATGTATTGGACAGGATTAAAGAGATGGACAGAATTAAGGAAGTAGCTTCAAATTTGGGTTACCGCAAAAGTACAATTGAAGGGCTAATAAAAAGTTATGAAAGAGGCAAGAGATTAAGAATCAGAGCAGATAAATTTAACATCACCAAATTTACGTATAATAAAAACTTCATGGACATCATGAAGCAAGTTTCAGACAGAAAACACACTCCAAAATTGATTACAAAAGAGGTCCTAATTTATACAGTATTCTTAGAAACAATAAGGACAAGCTTAAGAAAGAAGAAACAGTGGGCGTATATAAAATTCCCTTTGAAAACCAACAGCTAGGAGTTAAGAAGGACTATATTGGAGTCACTAGAAGAAATTTGGCTATTAGGCTTAAAGAACACAAATATGACATTAGTAAAGGGCATTGTACCACAGTTTTGTGAAATATGGCACAAGTGGAGGCTTCAGTAGTTATATGGAATGAAGCATCTATTCTCAAGAAGTTGCAGTCCCCATAGTTGGCTTTGCAACATGAAAGAATTGAAATTTATAAGAGTAAATTAAGGGACGGTTGTATCAATGCAAGGGATGTTGATGGTTTAGCTTCGACATGGAAGTTCTTTGTAAAACAAAAGTTAAAACACACAAATTCTTAGTTCCTATCTGCCTTTTTTAATGTGATGCTTTTTGATATATATATTTATATATTTTTATGAATTTAATCCTTTTGTGCATTTAACCTTTTAAGTTTATTTTTGTTTTTAGTTATATATCGCCTTATTTTATTATTTATATTAATATGGCTTCAATCTATTTATTATAGTTATTTTGT